GACCTGGCGCCGCTGGCCCACCTCGCCCTTGGCCTCATTGGCGAGGGAAAGATGTGGTCGCCGGAGAGTGGCTGGTCGGATGCAAAGTGTAAGTAGTGCAGTTCTGGTTAACCTGTTTAGTTTATCAAAAAATAATACAATCTTTCAGACGTTCTCGAGTCGCACAACCTGAAACCGCTGCACCTGAAACCAAAAGAGGCCCTGGCGCTGATCAACGGCACCCAGCTGATCACCTCGCTGGGCGCCGAGGCGGTGGAGAAAGCCTGCTACCTGGCCCGCCAGGCGGACATCGTCGCCGGCATGACGCTGGAGGTGCTGAAAGGCACCACCCGCGCCTTCGACTCGGACATCCAGAAGATCCGCCCCCACCCGGGGCAGGGACAGGTGGCGAAACGGATTCGGGCGATCCTCAACTCGCCCGTCTACCCCTCGCAAATTGCCGAGTCGCATCGTTTCTGCAATCGCGTCCAGGACGCCTACACTCTGCGCTGCTGTCCGCAGGTGCACGGCGTCGTCCACGATACGATCGACTTCGTGAAGGGCATCATCACCACGGAGATGAACTCGGCCACGGACAATCCTCTCGTTTTTGTGGAGCGCTCGGAGATCATTTCCTCAGGGAACTTTCACGGAGAGTATCCCGCCAAGGCGCTGGACTATCTCGCCATTGCCGTCCACGAGCTGGGCAACATGAGCGAGCGGCGGGTGGAACGGCTGGTCAATCCGGCGCAAAGTGGCTTGCCCGCTTTTTTGGTCCATAACGGAGGCCTCAATTCCGGTTTCATGATCGCCCACTGCACGGCTGCCGCTTTGGGTAAGTGCTGCATTGTAGTACAATGTCCAAAGGTTTGCCAACATTCTCAAACATTTTTCCCCCAGTCTCTGAGAACAAAGTGTACTGCCACCCTGCCTCCGTCGACTCCCTGTCGACGTCTGCCGGCCAGGAGGACCACGTCTCTATGGGAGGCTTTGCGGCGCGGAAGGTGCTGCAGGTGATTGAGAACGTGGAGCGCATCATTGCCATTGAGCTGCTGGCCGCCTGTCAGGCCATCGAATTTCTCCGTCCGCTGCGCACCACCAAGCCGCTGGAGTCAGTGTACAGCCTGGTTCGGACGCTCGTCAAGTAAGTTACTTTGCAAAAGACTTTATCTAACATGGGAAAACACCACCACCACTCTCACATCCTACTTAGTAATTCAGTGGTGCAATGTCATGCTTTTTGTGTCTCTTTTGTAGTGAGCTATTAAGTGCACTTAGATGATTTAGCCTTGTAAAGAGGCTATTATGAAGATCCTAAGCGATAACAAAAGGACATTTTTCGTAGAACTTTGCGCATATGACAGTTTAAATCATATTTTTACAAGTAAAGTCATCAGCGATGCCAAACTGATACGGTGCAAACAGAAGAAATTCCTTCAATATCATGAGACATACCCATAGCATTTTGCTATTAAGATAAGAGTTAAAAGCTACATTAGCATAAAAGGCAGAAAAAGCAATAAATGTGAATATTTTTGCATTAGAACCGAGATCACTAATTAGCCACCACTAATAATAATAATAATCATTTGTAACACCTGACACTTGTTAGACCTTGGGACAAGGATCGAGTGATGAACACTGACATTGACGCGGTCACTGATATACTGTCGGAGCAACGCGTCTGGAAAGTGGTGAAACCGTTCATTGAAAAGTACTACCAAGAAAAGGATTTTGATATGCGACCACCCTCACCGACTGCGACCATTCTCGGAAAAACTTCACGGTTAGAAAAAGAATTGCGGGCACTTAATGTTAGGAAAATTCAAGAAAAAACCAAACAACAGGAACAGCAACAAAGCCCGACTGATGAAGCAGGAAAATGTGAGCACTCTCATTATTTGGACAATTAAAAAGTAACGTTTTTGTTGTTTTTGTTTTTAAATTTTAATTGACATTTTTTGATACAATCAGGTGACTGATCATAAAATCAATACATCTCGTTGATTTTAAATTAAAACTTCTCATATTTTAACATTCTTCAATAAAAATTTATTTTTTGCATTAATTATTTTTCTTTGCAATTAAAAGATTTGTCACCTGAACCGAGTACTGAAAAGAATTGTTTGTAAAAATTATATTTTTAATTATTAACGTATTACCATTGCGTGCGTAAACTGTTGATGTACAAATCAAATCTGGTAAATTAATTTTATGATAGTCATCAAGGGTTAAAGTAAAGTTAATTCGAACAAGATAAGATTTTCCGATGAAATACGCCGAATTTATTTCTTTAAGTTTATATCTAAAACCTTTTTCTTCTTGTACTTTTTTAAGAATACTAGTACTT